AACAGCTTTTCTTTTTACACCTTTTTTATCAAATATTTCTTGATTAGTTAAATTATGCATTATTGTTTTTTCTAATAATTATATTTTAAAAAAAATTAAAATTAATTTATTACTAAATAAAATAATAATAATAATAACTTACTTTTAGATTCTTCTTTTAATATTTCTTTATGATTTCTTTTACAAGTACCTTTCTTTATATTAAATTATTTAAAAAAGTTAATAATAAAAAAATAATTTTGTATTATTTAATACTTACTTTTTCATATAATAGCTATTGCTTTTCTTTTAATTTCACTTTTATCTCTTCTAGTATAAAGAACTCCATTTATTATGAATTTCTTTTATTTTAAAAAGACATTCATTTAATTTTTTACCTCTAAAAAAACAAATTAATTAAAATTTTTATAATTTAAAATTAAAGAAATAATAAAATATATATATTTTACCTTAAAATTGCTGTAATAAGTTTTAATTGTTTTCCTTCTCTATTAGCTTAGCCTCTGTAATATTAGTATTATTTTTATATTATTCTCAAATTTTATTATTTATATTTGAAATATGTTTATTTAAAGATGCTAAGAAATAAGATTGATGATAATATTGAATCCAATCTATTAAAATAATTATATTAATTAAATTTATAAAATTATATTATAATTAAAAAAAATTTTAAATAAAATTACCTATAATTCGTTGATCATCAAAAGTTTTCAATTTTTTAAAGCATTTATAAACTTCTTCAACATTAGATTTAGATAGAATTGATGCTACTAATGTATAAACTTCATTGTTAAATTCTTTAGCCATCAAATTTCTAAATAAAAAAAATTAATTATTTAAAATTATAAAAATATTAAATTTATAATTAAAATAAAATAATTTACTAATTAAAATAAACTAAACATAATTTAAAAATATATCAAATGTGTATTCCAATCTTTACTAGAATCTCTTTTTGATAAAGCTAAATCTAATCTTTTTACTTATCTGCATCAAGATTGCCTAAAATATATTTCCAACTCACATCATCAATATAATAAAATTTTATAGGAATTTTATTCAAATTTTTAATAATTTCAAAAAGTTGAGTAAACAATCATTCATATGCATTTGCTGTAAAAATATTAGTATTAATTTAGCAATATGAAAGAATTAAAAAATTTAAAAATTAATTTAAATATATAAAAAAAAAATAATAAATTAATAAATACTGTTTAATTTATACATATTATCATATGTATTAACTTTGAATTTATTAATATTTTCAGAGACTCTTTTAAATGTTAAATTAATTTGAAAAAATTTTAATTCTTATAATACTTTTACTTGAAAATCATACATATATATAATTAATGTTTGTCTATCTTCAAATTGTTCTATTTTAAAATTTATAAATTATTAATAAATATAAAATATATAATATTATATTTAAAATAAAAAATAATTATATTTACTTATACAATGAACATAATTATGTAAATCAAATTTTTTTACATTGAACACTATATAAAACTTCCAAATTACCTTGATCATAAGAATGAATATTTTTATAATATTTGGCAACAAGTAATCGAAGTTTATCTATATATACTAGCAATAAATAGGTAATAGTTAGATCACAAAATAGTGTACTTTCTGACAAACAAATAGGCTGACTATAATAATGTATAATGCATCACCAATTCTCTAACCAATAATAAGATTTATATTTTGCATTTCAAATTCTCTAACCTATGGGTCAGCGAAAGTTATGTAACTAGTGCAGTAAACACAATAGTTATAATAAAAATTTGTTAAAATTCAGTTAGCACTATTTCTTAATTTTAGGTTATATTAGATATAATAACTCAGTATCTAAGCTAGCTTAAAACTGTAAACTAATAGAAATACTTTAGTTTCTTGCCAGTTCTATAATAGTTTTAGGAGAGTTTCAGATACTGTCAGGTCACTACCATAGTGTCAAGCTGGATCTTTAAATTACATATTCAAAAAATCAGCTAAAATTATAGCATAATATCAGCTAAAATTAATCATGAATTTACTGTACCACCTATCATCTTTTTTTATATCACTTTAGCATTTAGAAAGATAACTAAATAAATGCAAAATAGTAAGCACTTTAATATAAAATTCAGCATTCAATTAGATGTAAGGAGTTAACACCTTCAACATAAAATCAGGTATCCAAATAACTACAGAAGGTCAACAATTCTATTATAGAATTTAGCTTATAAATGACTTAGAAACAAGAAAAAAAGTGTGGTATTTAGATTATATAATAGTAATTAGGTTAAATAGTAAATAATAGGTAGATTATATGATGGTAAAAATACAAATAGCAGAAAAGGTTTAAAAGAATAGCTAAAGCATAAAATAGATATCCAATACATAAAATAA